AACTGTGATAAGTCGGCCGTCCTTTACCCCCCAGGAATCTTCCTGGTACTCATTTCTGTTAGAGGCTGAGTCGACCCCCAGGACCATTGTGAGGCTGGAAGGATTAGGTTTGAAAATATCCAGTGACCTCATCGGGAATAGAACCCGCTCCCTTCCGGCTCGTAGCACAGGGCCTCAACGTACAGCGTGCCCCCATTAGAGACTATTAGCTTTTCAAAAATGACTGGGGTCCACTGAATTATTCACGGTGAAGAATGTTACATCCGGTGTGAGACTGTCGACGCCGGGGAAGGCTGGGCAACATTCCGAACCTAATTCAAAACTTGGAATATTTGACGTAAAGAAGCAAACATCCTGGACCACGTGTGACGTTACCATAGCAACACACAGGACTGACGCGCATACGCGTAATACGATACAACTAGTGCTCTTTCTTCCATTTTAAATACTATCCCTACACGGTCAGCATGAGAAGCCTTTCAAACACCAGCACAACTGCGTCATATCTCAAGGACACACACACATTTAAGGCTCATGGCAACAATGATGTATCAAATTTCGTGGGACTCACCGGCCATAATCATGACGGCAAGGGCAAGACTGGTCTCTATACTTAGGCACCACGCCATGAATAAGTAGAGGAAGCATGTAGGTAAAGCTCCACACCTTCTTAACCTCAACACCGGATAGAAAATGGGGACTACGAAGAGAGCTCTCCCACAGACTGAGGGCAGACAGAAACATTATGCTTCCGGGAATTATCCAGCATCCTCTTTTTATCTGGGGCGCGCGATAGCGTAGTTGGTTGAGGCACTATGCTCCATGCCGGAAGGTAGTGGTTTGGTTCCCGATGAGGTCACTGGATTTTTCAATTGACCTAATCCTTTCAAGCGGCAATACGACCCTGGGTTCGACTCAGGCTCTAACAGAAATGAGTACCAGGAATCTTCCTGGGGGAAAATGAGGCCGGCAGGCGCGTAAGGCTGACCTCACCGCCATCTGTGAGTCTACTGTCTAGAGAAGATTTGAGAGCCTCGACGTCTCACTTCATGGCCTGTTACAGGGATAGATTTGCCTTTTTACCTGTTTTATGTAAAAACAAGGTTTCGGGACTGGATTCTGCCACCGTGTTCAGGTAAAGCCTACTCAGTTGAGTCCAATCGATAGAGCTAGTCCTTATCTCCGGACACATGCACCAGAACAAGATAAGGTATACAAGCCAAGCACAGCACAAAGCATCTGCGAGAGTTAAGTCAAAACATTAAAGTACTAAAAACACAAGTATGAGGCCTTGAAACTGAGAACTATCATAACAGACGTCATCACGGCAGAGGCAAAATCTCCGTACTGCAGACAAACACACAAAAAAACAAATTTCCCCATTCAATCTACACTGGACGTAGTAGTAATAGTTTGTTTTTTTTATTTCTGCTGTGATAATGGGAATCCAGATGGGAGAGATGTCCAAGCTGGGTTGACTGATCGGATGATCTCGCAGAGACATTTGGTCAGATTCCTTGTATTTCCTGCATTGTACGGAAGTATGAATTGTTTTAACGAGAGTGCCAGTAACTGAGACCCATACAGCGTTGAATGACAGTGTGATTAGTGAATAATGAATTGGAAAGGATATGGAAGGAAGCGGCCTTCGCTTGTCACTAATCGAAATTTGGGTCCAAATGAGATATTTTGTGAATACGGATTTGAACATTCGAATTCCGTAAAGCAACGCTAACTAGCGACAACTGGCAACGGTGCAGGACACGAGGTTCTCACAGCGGTGGTTATGAACAATTCTATCATCTGAGATGTACCGGGGGTAAAGCGGTAGAGGAGCAGAACCTGACAACTCACCTCCATCTAATGCCAAGGTCAAGAATGCTGGAGCTACGCTTCTACTACCCCACACAACTTCGTAGCGTGGTGCTTAATTAAGTACAGGAACAAGGTCAAAAAGGCGTAAAGTTGTCCCTGTGCTTAAATGATTAAGCATTACACCAGGATGACGTATGGAAAGTGGATGTACAGATCCACGCATTCTAGACCTCGGCGCTAGTCTCAGGCTTAACTTTATATCTTCTGGCATGTAACGACTCGTAGTCCGTTGAAAATAAACCAACGTTTCAGAGGAACATATGGCCTCCATCTTTAGAGTTGAAGAAAAGGGCAAGCAAGAAGCCAGCTTGAAGAAGGTAGCACAGCTACCTATCAACGTACTAAACAGCGTTACGTCCCAGAATAATGACAATCACATGAACAGTTTTGAAACGAACACTAATCCATCTGCAGCCAGCAACTGGCTTTGGCCTGGTTGTGGCAGTCACTTCCGGAGGATGACGGAGAAGTTTCCGGTTCGCTGGAAGATGACGCATGCTTGAGACATTCCTCAACAACACAACTCAGCTTCTGTGTGTGCTGGTAGAGGTAGGCCATAAGGTATAACTATTCAATTGGTCCGGGCTATTCAGTTCACGACGCAGTAGGACCTTCTGCGATACAAGGCCGTGTAAAAGATTAGGCCGTCCCTGTGCCTAACTAATCAAGCATTAGCGCATGAAGACGTATGGGGGTAGACGTATAGATCCATGCATCCTTGACATCGGCAAAAGTTGGAAATGAGTGGTCAGCTTCATGCCCCGGCCGCTTTACCCCCGGGAAAAGGACCCCCCCGATACCCTTTGGGTAGAAGACTGGGTGAGCCCCAGAACAGGTATGGAAGACGTGGAGAGGAGAACAGTCTTTCCCCTGCCGGAATTACGACTCTGACATTTCGGCCGTCCAGCCCGTTGCCAGTCGCTACACCGACTACGCTGTCCCACCTCCTACAACTATGTGTAGTCCGCTGAAAGTCAACCGTCGTTTCGGCGGAACATCGGCCTCTATTTTCAGCTCTACTTCCTACCTCTTTCATGCCGATTTATTGCTTGGCTTATTTTTCGACCCTGGAGTGGGGAGCGATATGTTCCTCTGAAACGTCGGTTCGCTTCCAACGGACTACACGGCGTTACCTCCCAGAAGGCATAATTCTTCATGACCAACGCTGTGAGACCCTCAGATCCTACATAATGGGGTTATGTGTCGCAGCATAAAACAAGGCAAAGTTAGATTTGTCCTTGTTCTTACTTAGGCACTACGCCATGCATACTTGTGTGTATGGGGAAGTGAATATACAGCTACACGCATTCTTAAACGCAGCACTACATGTAAGTGAGCCTCACGTCCCGGCCACTTTATTTGCGAGGAAAGGTTGCGGCGAGGTTGTTGTAGAGAGGAGGGGAAAAAAATTGCTATTCCCGCTGGGAATCGAACCTCGAATCACCGGTCTTCAAGCCCATAGTCTATTCGCTATAGCAACTGAGCTATCCCGCTAAAGCAACTGACAGTGCAAAATGTGGGGTTCCCGTAGCGGTAGATTACGGTACTCTGCGATGTGACGCCGTGTAGTTCGATTGAACAGTCTCGATCTCCAGGGTACAGTGACTGTGAAGGCAACAGGTTTCTCCGAAACGCTGGTACATATTGCCAGGTCACAGGCGCCGTTTGGATTGGTCAATACATTTACTGACCACTTACAGGTCGTAACTGCAAATAACTGTAACACTATCGATTGGCCGCGCCATAGCTCAAGCGGTTAGTCGCTGGCTTCCCATCGCGGCGGCCCGGGTTCGATCCCGGGTCTGGTCAAGTGGGATTTGTGGTGGACAAAGTGGCGCTGGGGTAGGTTTTCTCCAAGTACTTCGGTTTCCCCTGCCAATCTTCATTCCACCAATTGCTCCACAATCACCCTCACCTATCATCTGGGGCTGGTACAACAGGCCAGAAGTGGCCGCAGTATAAGGGACTTAGTCCAACCCCACTGGCAATAAAAAAAAAACACCATCGATATTTCCTGGTAACGGCTTCAACAATGGCTATTCCTCTGCCCCCGAGCTCAAGTCCTCCCTTCACAGACTCCCGTGCAGAACTAAGCTCTAACCTTGCCTTTTGCTTACAACATATCGGCACGGACCACACAGAAAACAGCGTTTCTATGGTTGCGTTCGTGCCTGTTTTGCGAGTACGTGTTTACCGAACCGTTGCCCAGAAACAGCCTTGGTATATCTGGCCATCTCGCGGTCGTTGCATGGCAACGACTCTACACGCCACAATATCTACAAAGCTACATGGCGTCATATCCCAGATTATAGTAACCTTAATTGAACTTAATGAATAATCAACTCTCGGGTTATTTAATGACATTTCTCACGTGCACATGTTATGCAGCGCTGAATGGCAGACCCAGGATAAGGTAAAAGACAAAGCTGTCCCTGTGTTTAATTAATAAAGCACTACGCCATGAAGACGTATTAGGGATTGTATGTATAGCTCCACCATTCTTGATCTCGGCACTAGATGGCGATAAGTGGCCAGCTTCACGCCCTGGCCGCTTTACCCTTGGGGAAAGAGCCGCCGGTACCCATTGAATAGGGGGTTGGGTGGGCCCAGAGGAGGTCTTGACGCTGTGGAGTAATGAAAAATCGCTGGCCTCTGCCAGGATCCAAGACCTGGGATATGTGATTAATAATAAATTGGGATACATATGGAAATAAGTGACAGTGCCGATCTTAAAAGAGTCTCCCAGTATTTATGTGGATGGACTGAGGAAGAAGCATTAAAACTCTGTCAGGATATGCAGTAACTGTGCACAGAAATGAATAAGAAAGGGAGACAAACCACTTCACTGACATGCAAGTAAACGGGTTTACTTAGCTATGCTATGATCCGCGGACGTTTTATACGTGATGAGTGCAGGTTTCTATTGAACGCAGTACATTTTCGGCCACATTTCACATTTACGTGTATCTTCAACTTTCTTTTTAATCACACGTAACAGTAACCGGTGACTCAATCGGACAGAAACGTCCATAACACGTCATAAAACGGACCAGAGATCCAGGAAGGGTACTTCAGACTGCCCGCGGGGTTCAAAAGGCCCGGAATCGCTGTTCCACAAGACTCACCTAGGCCTAGATCGCTGTTTGTAAGATTGACGATGATTCCTCTGCCTCTGGTACTGATGATACCTCTCCGCGATCCGCGCGGACGTCCTCGCTTCGTTCCCCGGCCGGATGGCCGTGGTCTGCCGGTTACAAGCATATTACTTGCAAATGGCAGAGGGAAAGCTGAAAAGACAAAGCATAAAATGTTAAGCACTGTACTCGGGACAATGGACGCCAGGTTCGGCCTCATTCATAGGTCAATGGGCGACGTTGTGTCAAATGCAGTCGAAGCAGGGCGATCCTGGGCGGTACCCCGCTGAAAGTACGAGCGCCGGGGCACTGTCCTGACACTTATTTTACACCTGTGATATCAAACGAAAACAACGGCTACTGAAAACTAACAAAAAGTCTGTTATACACGTACGTTTTGAGGTCTTAACAGCGGCAACTGTTAAGTTTCCGGTTCTCTATGTTGACACTGTGTAATTCTGTAAGCGGTTAAAGTGAACCCTAAATACGGAGGCACCATGTTCCTCCGATGCGTCGGTATCCAACTACAAAACTGCAAGCTGCCACAAATCAGACCACCACAATCTTACAAACCATTCACTTGTCATTGCTTTCCTCAAAAATTATAAATTTATTTCAATAACAGTGTATTAAAATACTCGAAAGGAAATTTTATTTTTCTTGTTAAAAATTATACGTAATAAAAATGCAAGAACTTACATAGTGTTTAGAGCATGCGGTAGCGTATTTGGTTGAGGCACTATGTTCCAAGCCGGAAGGTCGTAGGTTCGATTTCTGATGAGTTCATTGGATTTTCAATTGACCTAATCCTTCCAGCCGCACTATTACGCTGGGGTCGACTCAGTCTCTAACAGAAAGGAGCTGCGCGCGGCAGCCGCGTGAAATCGCTACCCAGCCTTAGAGGCTGAGTCGACCGCAGGGCCATAGTGAGGCTGGACGGATTAGGTAAACTGAAAACAAAATCCAATGACCTCATCGTGAATCGAACCACCAACATTCCAGCTACGCTACCATAAATACGTGTACGATTAAAAAATACGAGAAACATAACATATACCGGCAGAACAAGGGCAGGAGGAGAAACAGGACACAGATGAACAGAGCAAAGAAAACAGGAAAAGGCTGCCAAAGACGTGGAATGAAAGAAAGAACAAATGAAGCAAAAGACGATAGAGAAGAGAAAGCGACAAAATAAAAATGTCTTCTTACATCGTCTGAATGCGACGTCGTGTTACCTCGCAGAATTTCATCTACGTCTCGGAGGCACATACAGCCTCCATTTTCAAGTCTAAAGTATTCAAACATGAGACGAAGGAGGCAGCGTTCGTAAGTTTCCGCCGTGAGCACCTCAAAATCTCATTAAGGTACTGAACTTTGGGTTTCCTCTTCGAGCAGGCTGGTTCTCAAGAGAGGAGTTACTTCTCATAACGCGAAACACCTGTGAGGGCACGTCATACTTTCAGTAGGTATTTTCTTAACACTAGTGGGGAGGTACTAAGTCCCTTGTACTGCGGCCACTTCTGGCCGACTGTACCAGCCCCAGATGACAGAGGAGGGTGATTGTGGAGCAATTGGTAGAATGAAGATTAGCAGGGGAAACCGAAGTACTCGCAGAAAACCTGCCAGCGCCAATTTGTCCACCACAAATCCCACTTGACCAGACCCGGGATTGAACCCAGGCCACAACGGTGGGAAGCCAGCGACTAACCGCTTGTGCTATGGCGCGGCCATACTTTCAGTAGGTAACCTTACGGAAGAAACGTCCTATTTCCGGTATGGTGTTTCCGGTTCCCAGCGTAAGCTGAAAATTGAATCTTGTGCGTTTCTGAAAGCAGAGATATACTTCGCCCGCTCTTAGATGTTTCTCAGACACAGAATAATGGCACCTAACGACAACACTGTGCGCATTATATTACACGCCAATTAACCGTATCCAAACTTCAATAACCACGAGCTAACGCGGCGGTTGCTAATCGCGTGCCGTCATGAAGCAGATGATTTCCATTACAGACGAACAATCAACACCAAAATGGTGCAATTTTCAGCGTTAACGGAGCCGTTTCTAAATCTGCCGTAAGCCTCAACCACCCCTATTCAACGAAGCAGATGGGAAACAGCCCTAATTGCTGTGCAGGGTGGGTGGTGTGCAGCCTTCTAAATGAGCACATGCTTTATCCCATTAGAAATGAACGCCATGAATGCCGCATTTAGATTAAATAATAAAAAAAACTTCAATAACCGTAACAATAGCGAGTTTAATGCATTTCCTTTAGGCGGTGGTTTACAATACGCGGACCGCGTGCCATACGTCATATTTATGCAACGTTTTACTTTATTTATGATGCTTATTTAACGACGTCAGTAACTGAGATTATACGTCAATGAGGGCGGTCGGCGCGTAAGGCTGACAACCTCACCGCCATCTGTGAGCTGATTGTCTAGAAAATGTGGGAGCCTCGACGTCTCACAACACTACATGTCTTCACGGCAGTTACAGGGATAGCTTTACTTATATTTTCGATATCGGCACGCTGACTGAGCTACAGGCTGGACGACTGAGGAATCGGGAACGGATTCATGACAAAGGTAGGATGTTTTTCTTCTCCATAACGTCCAGACAACCACAATCTAGTGCGGAGGTTAAGAATACGTGGAGCTACACCTCCACTCACAATACGTCTTCATGGCGTGGTGCTTAACTAAGCACAGGAACAATACCTTTATTTCGTTGTATTAAAGTTAGTAACTTGGTTAAAACAGAGTACAGCTAGAAATAAATTCGTTATAATAAAGCACATGGCCTGCTGCTGGCACTTAGGTTAGGGCCCACAAAATGCTGTAGCCGTCAAATCAAGAAAGGTATGAATGGAGGGCACTTAGTACGCACTGCAGGATGCGAAATGCATACATAATTTTGATAGCAAAAGATGAAGGGAGAGGTTACTTGAGAGACCTAGGCGTAGATGGGAGGATGACATTAACATGAATATTAAAGAAGCAGGGTGATGATGACGTTGACTAGATTCAACTGGCTCAGGACAGGGACCAATATTGGATTGTTTTAAACACAGCGATCAACTTTCAAGAAATCTGTTAACCTGCATGAAATAAATGCCAAAATGGGAGCGGCATGTATGAAAAAGCTGAGAAATGTTTAAAAAATTCTAGTCGAATAACCCGAAGGAGAGCGATCACTTGGATGATCTAGTCGTAGATGGGAGGAAATTAAAATAAATATTAAAGAAACAGATTATGAGAGTGCGAAGTGGATTCATCTCGCTCTGGACAAAGACAGTGCCAGGCTGTTCCATTTAATGAACCGTCGGAGAAGAGGCCATTTAGGAAACCTAAATGTAGAGGGGAAGATAATATTAAAATGAATATAACATATGCAGGGTGTGTGTGGGATGGATTCAACTGGCTGTGGTTACGAACCAGTGGTGGGTTCTTGTGATGAACATGGCTCTGGTTAGGAAGCACTGGTTGGTTCTTGTGATGAACATGGCTCTGATTAGGAAGCAGTGGTTGGTTCTTGTCATGAACAATGGGGGACTTTCTCGACCAGTTAGTTAGTTATTGGAGAGGGTGTGTTTCCCCATGCACTTAGACCAGTATTGGTCCATTGTGCTTCCCTCTATGACATTCTACCAGTCTCTATACCCTACCGATAAATGGTGCGTACCATCAGTCCCGCCGAGCAAGCGAGTTCGGCCACTTGCTTAGCGGTGTCTATAATGCTTCCCCCATCTATCAGAGGCCTTAGAGACTATTGTTGGGCGGGAAACGTCCTGGAATTGGTCTCAGTGATCTCCTTAGGAGATATGAGGTTCTTTTACGTGCCGTAAAGTTACGACACGGGACACACAGCTTAAAGTCCCTCCCGAAGGACTTGTTCCCTGAATTTTTCCGCCCTTAAAAATTCGACGACCTCCGCCGGGTATTTGAACCCGCGTACCACGAGTCATGAGGTGGGAACGTTACCTCTAGACTACGGAGGCCGCTTTCTAGACCAGTTACGCGACAATCAAGTTCAAAAGAAGCTTTCTTCTCTGTACGGAACTATTTATTTATAATAATGAAACGCGCTTAATAAATGGAGGTACAATGAAATCCGGAACTGAACTAATCTTCCAGTTTTCCGGACCGGATGTGCCACTAGTCACAGTTAATGGCGAGGCCTTACAGTTGACGATGGATCCGTTACTAAAAAAACGACATGCCTTAATAAGTCTGCGAGGCGAGGAGGCCTGGCTTACATTTTTTAGAACCTAAAAATAGCTGCAACACATGTTTCATATTTTGCAAACATTACACCACACCTATCCATATGCCCAAAGCTCTACACCCTACCGTAATGTCTGCGCAAGAGTGTCTTAAAGAGAAAAGACGTAAGTCTGGGAAGGTATTAGTAAACGCAAAGTTCGTCCCTATTCTTCTTGTCTGCGTCACTCTATGAAGACGTATGGAGGAGATGAAGTATGGCTCTACTTTTCTTGACATCGGAACACGATGCACGTGAGCGGTCAGCTTCATGCCCCAGCCACTTTACCCCAGGGAAAGAGTCCCCGGCACCCATTGGATAGGATGGATCGGCCCCAAAGCCGGTATAACTACGCCAGTATTTAACCTTCGAACTAAAGCAACTTCATGCTCTGATCGATTCATTCCTGGCCAAAGAGCCCCTGTACCCACTGGATAGGAGAGTGGGTGGGCCCCAGAACCGGTTACTAAACTCTGTACAAGACAAATATCTCTTGACCTTAATAGTAGAGTGAATTTACCGACTACACAACACGTTTTTTATTATCACTACATGTTTCGACCTCAAGAGGTCATCCTCAGGTGTACGAACACGGCTGTATAATTACACGTGGTCACATTCACTTTTCACTCATTCGACCCTGTATCTTATCCAGATTTACGCTCACTAATATATCGAGTTATTTTTATAAAACACAGGTTAAAATTATTATTCGAATTTAATTTTTAAAAGTTCGTGAATCGAAGTTCAATTCATGTCACTGGTTGACCTTGCCGGAAATCGAACCCGGGTAGTCCAACTGAAGCTGTCAACATAGCGTCCAATGGTAGGACTGGTGAAAGGTGAACTGGAAAGGATTTGGAAGGAAGAGGTCGTGGATTAAGCGAGGTAC